CAGGCGAAATCAGACGCATCCGACGAAGTTCGTAGCAGGCACGCCGGCAAGCACAAGGGCCAGCAGTGGATTTGTTTAGGACATCCGCACAAGCTTTGAGTTCGTACTTGGGCCAGAACGCTCCGGACAAGCAAATCCCAGTTGCGCCTGTAGCTACATCAAGGGCTGACTGTTTGTCCTTTCGTTTTCCTAATTGTTTGCCGAAGAATCATGTCATGTCCGAGGCGCCTCGCATGTCACGCGGGCTTTTTGCGTTGTTGAGTCACGATCGCTCAACGCACGATCTGAAACCCCGTAGCTGACTGTTGGCCGCACGGGCTCATATGGGAGTATTTAACGGTAAGGTCTCACCGAAGCACGAAATCACTCCTTGCAGCCAATGTCTTCCGCGGGTCCTTGAAAGTAATTAGAGGAGTCAGGGGCCTAACTCTCACGTCGGATCCCAAGCCGCTGTGTCGTTTCAGCCACTTTCTATGTGTATGTATACGTAGGAGCCCCAGGCCATGTAAGCCGCGAGCTCTCAAAACCCCCGAACCGACACCAGGATGGACGCGCTTGCGGAGCGGACGCACAGCACTCTCCTCAATATCATCGTCTTTTTAGGGTGAGCGAATACAGTAACGTAAGGGCCTGAAGAATTTCCATGCAATCTTATTCCTTAGGGTTCCTGAATATCATAGTACTATAAACACCACCGCCGAATCCTTTACTAAGTGTTGACGCCTCAACCCCTTCCAGTAACCCTCATAGAACACACAAAGGAGTTCTAACAGGAACCTCTTCTAATTATTGAGCCCCAACATTGGGATTTTGACATCAATCTGCACCCTCTCAGAGAGTCAAAATGCTTTACCTTGAGGGCATGAGGACAATCATGTTCGAACCTTCTGGCATCTGCTGTAAAAAGCAAGCCCCCCACATCTGAAATCTCAAGTCGAAGCCAGATTTGACACCGCCTGCTTTAACTTAGACCTGGAAAGCCAACGCCATCTCCAGATGATCACAGCCGGGCCCTCATCTGTGTGTTTGTTGAGAAGGGGATACCCTTGGTAAAGAGAATGATCCCTGAGTCTCGCAGCTCCCGCTAGTATTGCCTTGTGAAGCTGCATAAGAATTTCTAGGGCCTCCCATGACATGAGTAATAGTAATTAGATTAATGACCAGGCTGTTCAGCGGTACACTTTGTTACTTTCAGGTTTCTGGGTTCGTATTATAATAAGAAGCCTAAAACAGTATATACTTTTTCCCAGTGGGTCACTGAACAGCCTAGATGATTATAGGTTAGTGGGGTACATGATATATTGTTAGTAACCTACCAGATAACTGGAGCCCTATGCGGAATCGTAGTGTCATATTGGTTAGCCCCTCCCTCGAAACACTCGGAAGCGATCAGGCTTGGCAGAGTGACTCTGCTGTGGTCGGAAAGGGAGCGGAATGTACATAAGAAACATTGACGTAGTACAGTGCAGTAACCATGGAGGAGGGTTGTCAAAACATTACGGTGTTACTATCTGTTGAGGCCTCCCTTGTTGATCAGAACTTCCTGCTTATGGAACTTAGAAGTATAGAGTAGGCAAAGGCTACCGTTTGCGCCGCGGGGTAACCTGTAGTTGATGTAGGATAGGATAGCATAGCCTTGGGAAGTGTAACGTGCCATGATCAGCTTAGCCTAGACTTCCAAACCCCAAACCAACTCCGATTGCCGGTCCGCAGCCACCAAACCTTCGCCGACATAGAGCACCATGCGACAACTCTTATAAAGCTCATTAAATTTCCTTGCAACCGTGTGAAACTTTATGAAGCCCTCTTAATCCATCAAAAGCTGGTGCAGCGCAGCCCAGAGCCGTGAGTTCCTAAACCTCCGAAATCCTATAAAGGGAACTCCAGAAAGTTAGAATATGGATTAATGGTAGGATCCCCTATAATTTACCTTAAAGGGGTTACGATAATGATATTCCAACTTTCTGGCTTCTACTGTAGAGCTTAGGTGGACTAGTCGTGTTCGTGCAATGCGCCTTGAGAGTTATACTGCTGTTGATACTCGATCAGGTCGACAATCAGGGTAAAGATTGAGTCCTGAAGAGTTGCAAAAACACATACACTGATAATGCTTCCTTAAGGTGAGAGCACTTGCAATAATCCCCAAAAACTAAATATCCTAAATCCTGAACTTTGAGCCCGATCCGGCGCAAAGCCAGGCCTGGATTGCAGGGTCGATCAGTGTGCTTGTCATCCACCGCGTGTTCAGGCAGCAAGGGGCCCTGTTGCAGTTGAGTTCTCTGTCTAAAGCTTGTAGTGAGCAATGAGTGTCAGTGACTCCACAGGCACCTAAAAGAGGTCGTGATACTCTGCATAAAGTGTTGGGTTGCGCCAATTGAACAGTTGTTCGAACCAGGCTTATGTTACTGGAACTACATGCCAGCAAGCCGGCTATAGCTGGGGCACCATTTCCAATCTCCGCACAAGTGGGGATCATCCTGTTTGTTACGCGAAACGTAGAGACACTGGCACAGGCAAGGCATCCCCCCATAGCATATGGATTGCACTAGTCATGCTGCCTTCATCCTTGGATATATTATATGACAGTGCATGTTGCAGCGAACGAACACCTCCATCCATGCATGCATGCAGACAGGTAAGTATACAGAAGCACATGCTCCGTAGGAACGTCGACAATATTGGGTCATGGTTGGCATAGACAACCTTCTCAGGTTGTGATGGGCCGCATCATGTTTCGAGCACAGCAGCACACAAAGCACATTATCGTGTTTGTCGTCGTATTAGCATAGCATGGGAACTTAACCCGGGCAAAACGCGACTACACTTGTATTCTGCAAACCGTGAGCCCTGAACTATTTCGCAAGAGCAGGATTGCTATGACTTCTTGCCTAAGCGAAGGGGAACTCTGGCATTTGCTAGCTTACAATCGGAATTATATCTGTTCAACGTGCTGGAGACGAGGGCCAATAATTCCATGTTTAGTTCCGTTCCTGGCCAAAGACGAAGACAAGCGTCTCCCTCAGAAAGGAAATCTGAGCCCCACACCCTTACAGAACCCTTATTAGACCCCTCAGAAAAGCACGTTAAGCTTCAGCACTTTCTTGATCACGGTGGCAGGAGAAGCAGCGGGAATCCTGAGACGGAGGGCTTCCGGCCCCTGCCAGCCACATAAGAGTTTTGTGGCCCTGCTCAAGCGCAGCAGGGACAAATAGCTACTACCTTTGCTGGGATGGTTTCCGGCCCTTTGTCCTTGAGACGCTTGTAAAGCAGAAACTTAGCTGATGCCCCCGTGATCAGAGTCTTTTGCATCCGGGTTTGTGAGACTCCGGGCCATCCAGTGCATGTTGTGAATGTGTCAAGCTTGGTTAGGCACCAAGTGCTTGTACCAAGGGCGACTGGCAGCAAAGTTTCTGCCAGCTGCCACCCTCAGAGCATCTCAAGAGTAGGCCGTGTAAGAAGCACCGCAGCTGCCACGGCCACAGCTCGTAGACTGCATCCCTAGTCGCCACTACCTGCTTTTGAGGTGCGCAGAATAAGTAGTGCCACCCCTTGCAAAACCGTTTTGTCCGGGGGTGGTGGGATCCCGACCGCCGAAGCACTCAGCATCCAGAAAGCACCGAAAGCGACACAAGACCTGGACCTGGACTGTATGCTTCGGGGTACGGGGGCTGTTTTAGCTTTCCCACCAGAGCCTTCACCCCAAGAGTCCAATCGTCGCGGGGCAGCGTCCTTCGATCATCTTCCACTAAGATCCCACCATGTCGAGTCTTTGGGAAGCCGGTACCACTATCGTGGTCATGGTTATGCAGTATTTTCGATGTTCATGTCCAGTCGTGTAAGTTGACACTTTCATTCTAGTTATCCTCATGGTGCCACTCTTTGTGCCTGCACTCATTTGGAATCGACCTGCTGCTGTTCAATAAAACCCCGAGCCCTGCATGTTGGCCACTTCCCAGCCATGTTTCTTTGCCGATTGGTGTCTTCCGCATGGTATGGCTGGCATGCATGCATGCATGCTGTGCTTCGGGCAGAAATAACCGTAACAAGCCAAGACTATCCGCGACACACTACAGGTGTTTCAGTGAACCATTGTTGTTTGACATAGAACCCTAGAAATGCCCCAGCGTGGTGCTGCGCATCTACGTTGTCGCATTTGCTTATCTGACGGGCTGCTTTTCAGCGATCCCGGTACTCTGGCAGCCGCTGATCCCGCACGACTCTCGTGGCTAATGGTGTACAGGGTTGCCTTGGGCGACGACCAAATCTGCGCCTCCGCGAATCACTGCGTATGCTGGATAGCCCCACGGAAAGGGGTTGAGTGCTACTCTTGGCTGCCAGTAGGCACCGGCTCCTAAGCCTCAAACCCTGCTTGTTGTAAGAAAACTCTGTTCCACCACTGAAGCCGGTCGGGTGCACGTTCAATAAGACATTGTGGTTAAAGTACCTTGGACTTCGCAGATTCACGTGATCAAGTCTGCTGAATATATCACTGGCAGTCTGAAGGATTGATTGTTAGGGTTTTGAAGTTTAGGGTTAGGGCTTCTGGGGGTTATACTCGTAGGGTTTATAGGATTTAGCACTTGGGACGAGGCTTCGGTCACAGGGTACGTACGAAAGTTCAGGTGTCGTTTTGGTCGTCCGGAGAACTGGCCCTGTCTCCGACACATGGACTTTACTGAAGACGACATACTGCTGATGGACAATATCCTGCATTACCCATTATAAGGAATATACCATAGTTCCCATAGTTTAGAGTCCTTAGGGTCATGCAGGATTTTGTCCATCAACAGTACCACCTAACTTCAATTGGAGACACCCTAAACCCTACCTGGAGGTACTCTGTTCTGCTTTTTTCCGCCCTTTTGAAGAGGACAGGAAAATGTAGCCTCGCTAAAAAAGGTTCCGCTTTACGGGGGCTGAATTATTTCATTTCTGGGTTTTAGAAGATGGGACTTATCGGGACGTTGATTTCGATTCGGAATGTCTTCGAACACTCTTTTTCACGTGAAGATCGCGAGATGTGCCGAAATCAAGTACCGCTGCAACGTCCTGCGCATCAGCAAATGAGACCCAACACGCCTCCTCAGACGGGCTATCCGTCCCACCATATCTTCGTCGAGTTGAACGGAAGAGTGCAGCATATTTGGCACCCATGGGTGCTGCCTAGAAAGCAGCAGCATATCCCGAAAGCCATGATGCAGGTAATGGATTTTGGGCATCAAAGGATACCTCAGACGATTTTGTCGCAAACTCGCCTCAGCGAGGCGTGCATAGCAGCAAAGAAACCTCATACCCGCTTTACCCGCTTTCGCAGCCTCCTCCGAAGACATCCAATAGCCAGCGCTGTAGCAAACACGAAAACATAAGTTGGCTGAAGCCACACCCTCAAGCGCCAGCTCGGTGACTTCAGTGATCACGTATTGCCTCTTCCTCAAATAATCTTCGAAGAAAGACAGAAGCACACGGGTATCATTGAACTTTGACCAAGCTCCAACTGGCCAAGCTTGCATTCCTGACTCCAGACCAAACAAGTTTAAGTCAATCTGTCCATAATGCAAAGTGAGTTTCGAGTCTTTTCGCCATGCCTTGTAAGCATCATTGAACTCGTCGATTCTGGTGTCGAGACTTTCCTTTGTGTCCATGCTTTCAAGAATTTCAGCAGCAGTGGATGCCACCATATTCTTTCCCACGCCACCATGAAAATTGTGCCATGCATCAAAGTACAAGTTGCTCGGAAGTGTTTCATCATCACAAGAGCAGCCCAACCCTTCAAAGAACCGTGGCAGTTCCGGCCAGGGTGGCACCTCGAAGAGTGTGTGGGACCACTCCGGGTACATATTCATGTTCTCGAAAGGAACGTTAGGTGTTCCCGCCATGCAAACCCAACATATGCCGTGCCCAGCCACATCTCCAATCTTCTTTTCCACTCGTGCATAGTTCCGCAGCAGATGACCAACTTTGGCCAGGAATGGATTGTCGCCTGTTAGTCCCAGACATGCAGCATGGAACCGCCGGCCGTTGTAAAGAAAACCTTCGGTTTGCAATCGTCGGTAAGAAGAACCAATCTGAAAGGCAATGTCATCCCAGACTGACTCGGCCCCTTTGCCATAAATATGCTTCGGCACAGCGACATGAAGGAATCTTGATTTCAGACTCCCGCCCATGTTCAGTCCCATTTTCTTAGCCCGATCATCAATGCTATGCAAAGAATTGAAAAGTTGTGAACCTTGTCCAACAGCACCCCGCATACTCCACAACAGGATGCCTTTCTTGCGCTTGCCCCTTCCTTCGTCGCCATGCGAATAGAAAGGTAGTGTCCGAGCCAAGTTAAACTTACCTGCTGATGCAGCCTCGAATATCCAATGGTCCGGAAAAATCTTGGAGAACCGGTTCCAGAACTCCAGCAGATTGCATTCATCAGGGAAAATCAGATCCAACTTGTCGCATTCAGCGAGAGCCGAAACCATTTTGTAGGGATCGATCCACGGAATCGGAGTTTCGTCCGGGCCAGCTTTGATGGTATCAATATCAACAGCCAGCGTGAACCCAGCAGTTCTGAGCCTCATGATGCTCGCGATCATTTATTTATTCCTGTACAAAGAACCCGAAACTACAAAACGAAACCACTATTGTATTAATTCTCTATATCGACTAGCAACTCTCCGAAAGCATTGTGCTCAGCTCGGTGTCGGCTCCCCCGGGCTAGACGACCATAAATGGAGTTTCGCGATGTGGGGTTATCTTCTTCTCGCCTCGAAACAGCCTCTTCCCAGATGCTGGCACCAGCAGCCTGGGAATGGAGGGATTGATTCGTAACTTCTGGTTTTGGGGTAACTTATGGTTTTTATTAGGCTTTTTTGATAACTTCTGGTTTTGCTTGGGTAAGACAAGGGCAAGTGAAGTTACAGTAGTCTCTTACACCTTAGATGGTCACCCAGGGCCAGCAGTCCTCAGTATAAAAAGGGTTGCACAGCATATCTGTACGAGTGTTGTTGGTTGGGGCTAGCACTAAAGTCGGTTATCTTTATTAACCCTGTAACATATATGACTTATAATAACCATTGCAGAACATGCACCCAACTATCCCCGACCCTACGTAGAATATATGGGTATTAATGCCTTAAAGCGAAAGCTGAGATTTCACTGGAACCCTTTTGATATGCCCGTAGTGTAGGGAGATGGGAGATCGTCAACTTATTGCTGGGATAATAAGGCTTAGGACAGCGTCCTCTAAGTTGCCCAACATCTAACTAAGATTATACTGCCCCCCTAAACCCAATAACCCCTTCCTTCCTTCTCCGGCGGGGCGCTCCACGTGCCAAAGCTCTGGCCACCTGGAGGCGCTGCCGATCATCTCCTGGCTTGTGTTGGGTTATTTCGGGCTTTGGGGATGATGGGGTGGCGTCCGGGAGTTGCTCAGCGACCGATCTTTTTCACACCGACCTTCCCCATGTTCGTAGCGAGCAGAAAGTGAGAAGTAGCACACATACCACCCATACACAGCATTGCACATGTCTCCCCGAAGAATCTGTGCGTATGTATGTGTGTGTGTGTGCGTGTGTAAAAGTGCAATCACGTGTGCACGGGATCACGGTATGAAGGCAACAAGTCTCGATTGGAACAGCGTCGCCCCCATGTGCGAAAAACTACTTCTTCTTACCCAACTTTGATTTGGCAGCAGCTTTCGCTGCACCCTTGGGAACGGCCGGCTTTGCGGAAGGGTTGCTGACCCTTCTCAGTTTCTCGATGTCGCGGATCTGGGGCCTCAAGGATTTTCGGGAGGGAGCACGATGCTACAGTCAGTGTGGTGTACTGAGTTGATGACAGCACCAGGGCCTCCACAGACGTGGCCTTCGAAACCCTCAGTTTTTGAAGCATCGGTAACATGAATATATATTGTATGTCAGGTTGCAACCGGGGAACAGCGAACTCGCCTTCTTGATAGCATCCTTCACCGCACTCCTTGCTAGCAGCTCCCCCGAAGTTCTTTGCAAGCGTGTCGCAAAACTGCAATCGAGGTGCTTCAAAGGTGTCTTTGGTGTGTTGTTGACGGATTTCTGCTGGGCTAGAAGATCGGACAACGTGTCGTAGGAGCTCTCCATAGACTCGGCCGAAGATTCCAGCTGCTTCGCATACCTGCTACAGCATTACAATTAAACGATTGAATCACTGCGAAGAAGTATTCGTCGGGTTGCAGAGGGCCTCTCGTGTGCAGACTTCGGGTCGGGGTTGTAGGGGGCCCGCAACTTCACCACAGTGTCATGCAACTTCGCAATGCGAATCAGCAAATCACTCATGGCTCTCTCCACCGCGTCGGAGAGGTCCTGGTATCAGGAAGGAAACGTGAATGCAGTGAATCTAGAATTATATATGCTTGAAAGCCATGCAAACAGTATCTAGAAATTTGGTATCCTCATCAGACACTCGCTTGGCTTTGTCGTCGTCAGCATCCACCGCACTGGGGTCCATGTTTTCGAAACCCAGGCTCTTGATATTTGGCATAGCCGGCATGGCATCGTTGACCTCCTTCGGCAACTCCTGGCCTGCTTCGTTGTTCTCCCACCTGGAAACAATTCTTGTCGTGTCCTTGAGAGTCGTGGTCCAATCGTTCTCCACCCAGTGCTGGAGCTTCTTGGGGTTGTACTTGTACTTCCTCGCACGGAGTGTTTTTTCTAGACCCCAATCACCCACCGCGATTTCCCTAAACCTTGCCTCCTCAGCTCGGGCTTGTCCTTGGTGTACTCCACGACATCCTTGATATCGGACCTGGTTTGTTATGGGTTCTCTTGTGGGTCTAGGATTATATAAGGCACACACCAAAGTATAGTAGTTCACTGGGGATAGAACGGATTCATCTTCAGGACACTGCTCATTGCAGCCTCCGTATACCATCCAGCCGTGATCTTATTCTCCTTGTTTTTCTCGCGCTCCACAAACTTCGTCACTTGGGACCGGAAAGAGCCCTTGGTTTTCCCACTCTGAGAAATGACGGCAGCTGGGACAATGTAACACTCTGAATAGATTTGATTCGAGAGGCTTTCTGGAAGTTTGCTGCGATAAGCATTTCCGTCAGTGCCTCACGGTTGTCGATGTCTTTGTACAACGTAACAGCCGCCGGCCCTCCTAGGGCTTGCTTCTTCTTCCCGGAAGTACAGGCTCTCCGAACTCGCTGCTCGACAGCACATTCAGAAAGCACCTGAGATAGAGCCCACACAAATGTGTGTTGATACAAGAACACATGTGTACATGAGGTGTTTTAGTGAAAAACTAACACGACACAATGTATATGTAAGAACCAGCCAAAAGTCTTGTCCAGTCTTGGGGTCGTGGATCGTGCCGTATTTGCCACTGTTTAGCACTTTGGGGCGTTGAAAGGTTCGCCTCTCCTGGGTGTCTTCCTCCTGCTCCTCCATACCTTCCTGATCCTCCTCCTCATCTTCCTCTGCATCATCATCATCCTCTTCGGGCTCTTCCACACGTGGCGGGAGGGTTCGGGCCCGCGAGGGTGCAGCCACCGGGCGGGGCTTCGTAGGATCCACAAAGGCGTTCTGCCTCACCATCCGAGTTGAAGGTTCCGGGGCTTCGCTTGAAGATCTCTTGGCACTGGGAGCTTGGCTCGGAGTTCGGCTTGGGCGGCTCGGAGCTTGGCTTGGGGCTCGTTTGGCAGAGGTGCTCGGGGCAGGGCTGGCACGTCGAGACGACGGGGCTGGTGGGTCGGATCGGGAAATCGATCTTTCCGCCTTGACTTTGCCTTCCTTAGCCTGATTCAACTTCGCCTGAAGCCTCGCAAGTTGCTCTTCAAGATTTTGTTTCTCTTGCAACAGCTCCATATCTGAGTCATCTGTTGCCGGGGGTGTAGCGGGAGGCTCCGGAGAAGCTGGTCGGGGCTTGCTGTCATCACAGTGCTGTCGGTCCTGTTCCCAAACCCAGAACATAAAACACTCATTGCACCTACACCCAAAACGACCCTTTCAACTACTTCGTGTGGAACAGTGAGAAACTTCGCGAGAGGAAAATTGATCGAAGGGAGTAGATAGAAAGACAGAGGGAGAGAGAGGGAGAGAGGGACAGCCCTAGAGATAGCAAGTCAAAGTAATTGTACATAATGAGAGATTACATATGTGGTAAATGAATTTAATTGTAAGACTGTGCTTCACAGTCTATTGTGCTCACACATGTAAGCACAGGCAGACACACACACACAGGCGACGATATGTCGACGACAAGACTTAGACCCAGGTTCACATTACTTGCACATCAGCACTCAAAGAAGCCCTCTCCTTCGAAGGTGCCTCCGGCGTTGATTGTCGTCGCTTCTGTCGCTTAGAGGCGGGCTTTTTAGGGCTTGGGGTGGCATCACGATTCAGATCATTCAGATCCAACGTTTCAGCAAGGGATTCTTTGCTGGATGCGGCAGCCATTGAGCGGGAACTGTTCGGGCCACGCTCTTCTGCTGCTGCTGCTGCATTGAAGCTCCCCTCTAATCTTCGTCGTACACACCGCTCGTTGTTGTCGGCATGGCCCGCCGTTCCACCCAGATCCTCGCTGAAAGCTTCAATCTAGCTTATCGATCTCAACATCAAAACAGAAGCACATGAATTCTCAAGACAACAATCCTCAGGTTCCCTGGCTTTCTGGGCGCTTGCAGGCCGGGCCGACATATCCATTTCGGCCAATTGCCGCTCCAAGTCCTGTAAGAAAGGGTTTAGGGGATATGTTCGGTCTGGATAGTTTCTACTCGAACATAAGAGATTTCATTAATTACTTACAATAGGGTTTAGGGTCCTCGAGCTGGGCATTCATGGCCTCTTCGGGCATCTCTGACTTGCACTTGACAAGATGGGCCATCCCTAGACCCAGCTCACTGCAACTCCACTGCCTGGAGTGAAGATGCACTGGCTTTTTGCCCATCTACGTCCGCCCTTAGAAGACTCCGCACCAAGGGTCCTATAGTTCCTGGGTGGTTCGAGAGGTAAAGCGGCAATCTGCGGAATCAGCGGCAAACGGCCCCCAAACCCCCAAATAATGACCCATAATTGCCCTTAAAGGTCCCGCGGGAAAAATGTGTCCGCTTACGCTTTTCTGTTGGGTTTTTGTTGTGATCCAGGTTGGTTTTTTGTTGATATAATGTTGCGTTTTTTTGGTTTCAGGTTGGTTTCAGGTTGGTTTTCGGTTTTTGCCAATCTCAACAAATCCCAACATAATATCAACATTTTGTTGTGATTCGGGGTCCTGGTTCTAGTGTGGTTTTCAAGAACTATTTATTAGCGTTATAGTGATTTACAACCACGGCGTGGGTTCAATATTAATAACGTCACAGAAGCTTTTAATTGGTTTTAGATTCGCGGGGCCTTGTTTCCGGGGTCTGCGGGAATTCCCGCGGGAGCTCCCAACAGGCAGCTATAATATTGCTCTCGAAAGGCTGATACGGGGCCCCACTTGGGAATTCTTGGGGAATCGGGGCTTCCATATTAGAACACATTCAGGGTGGCCTGCACTATCCTGCTTTGAAAGAAAGCTTCCAGGACAATATGAGTTCCAAGAACCTGATAAACAATAGTGTTGCCCGACGGTCCTCTTTGTCACCTGCGATCATTGCCGGTATGTTGCACATCAGCTAAGCAGCCAAGACATCTAGTGTGACACCCTGCAGAATATTAGCAATTATCAGTGAAAATCATCCCACCACCTGTGTCTAATAAGCTCATAAGAACGATCCCTGGTAGCTGTGGCCCAGGCAAGGACGATCTTCAAATTGCATGCTTGAATTAGCCAAGTGTGTGTGGGCTCTGAAGTTAATACTACAAAGCCGCCATCAGCCTGTGCATCAGACCGTAGAAGGCAAGAGAGGTCGAGCCCAATCCGGAAGCATCAAGTTTCGGTTGCCCCGGAGGTAAACCAAAACTTCATCCATCGAAGCTTCTTCCCAGACATCACCCAAACCCTGCTGGCAGTTCATATCGCTGAGCTGCTCTCGAAGATCCGGCACTGTCAGAGGCTTGGGCTTCCCACTTGCCTGGGCCTTCAGCTGGTGCTTCAGAGTCACGATCCGCATTCCAAACCGTAGAGGATACTGCCTGGGTCAGCAAGTGTTGTTTGCGGTGTTGCATGGGTTTTAGAGAGTATATACGGGCTGCGAATGCTTTTGCACGTAAGATCCGGGCTCGGTTGCTTTGAGGTTTTCCGTACCAATGTATCTGGTCTTCCCGTTCGAACCATGATATCGTTTGGTAGTCTTGCCTTGCAAGCCTCGACGAACTCGTTGCCAAGAGAACAAGTGACCCTTATCAAAGGATCCGATAGCTGTGGAATTAGAAATAATGCTGGTCCTCTTTGCCGTTGGCGAGCTGAAGTGTGCCATCCAAAAGTTCGTGCGATATACCTTGGATGTAAGTACAAAGCAACAACCACGACAACATGAGATTTGTGAACTTATGTGCACTATCTACACATCGAGTTCACTCAGCATTCGAAGTGACACTGATTTGCCGACAGAGCCAACGAATCCTGGGATGGTGGAACATCCACGAAGTTCTGGGGTTCTCAAGGAAGAAAACCCCGCCACTGGCAACACAGAGAAGCATGAGGAGCACACTCCTGCCCAGGAAATTGAGTCAGCAGGGATTTGAGCTAGTTGCGGAGAACAACAGCAATCCCCCTTGGCAAACAGTCCTGCCTCGCCACCAAGCAGTTGGACTCGACTACACTTGTTTTGGAAACGTCACCCTCCGGCAACAGAAAAGATCGCCTGCTCGTGCCCATATTCATGGTGCTGCTGCTACTACACTTCACTCCGAACCAGGCAATGCAATCATCTTCCACACACTGGAGCATCGTGATCGTAGCGAGCCTGGGATCAAGCTTAAAGTCGGGGGCATTGTTATTCCACTTAATCAACTACATAATGCAATCATGGTTCGCCATGCCAGCCGGTGTCAGTAAATCCAGGTAGTTCTGCTTGTTCCAGGGCCCGGTGTAGTGCATGATATCGAGAGGACATCCCAGCACCCCGGAGGAAGTCATGCATCGAGTCGCCATACCGGAGCCACTGAAAAACTCCACCCATTGAAAGACCTCAATGTGCATGGTTTTAAGGTAGGACACTGAAAGCGACAGCAACAAATCAACTCTTGGAAGACTAGCGTGCAAGCCTAGAGTCACGGTCCAAATGAGGCCCAACATTCTTCGCCCAGAAGAGCAGCAATATACATAGTATGAAGACCTTGCAGCAGTCATTCGAAAGCCTGGGAACTCGGTCGTACATATTTGCTAAAGTCAACCCTTCCTGCTGGCATGAGGCCTTCGGGGCATCGAGCACACGGAGACGGGCGACGAGCAAGGCCATGGATTCTGAAGTCCACGGCTTCATCTCTGTTGCTGTAACAGACTGGGGACCCAACGACCTACCCGCACAGCTACCTTCGGGAACTCGCACACCGTATTCTCTTTCGACGCGAGGCAACTAGCTGTGTATACGGCATCTGTTCGGGGTCTAACGGTTTATGGGATTGCATATAAGGCATAGAAAATATTCCGGGTTGGAAGGTTTATAAGGCACATTCTAGGCGGGGTCCGGAGACAGGCTACACAGCTTCCGAGCACAATGCGAAACATGTTTGTGTCAGGAGATCTCAGACATCCTCACTTCAACCAAACTAACCCGGCCCTCATAAGTTGGAACACACATACAGTAAACAGGGCTGGCTGGCCTCGGGTTTGCTTGGTCTTCTGCTTCCAGATGACACCAGTACGTCGCTGCACGGCACGTCGGACATCCAGAGACCTGCGTAGCGGGGCTAGGGGCTTGAGACTGCTAGTTGTCACGTCTCTCGGCGAATCGGAATGATTTGTCTGGGTTGCACAGATGATTCCTGGGTCTGCCTATGTACATAGTCATTGTGTTTTACTAGAGTTACAAGCGGATGTTGAAGGGCACCGGAGGGTTAGCCGCAAGTGTTGCAGAATCATTATGGGCTAGTATAAGGCTACAAAATTTATAAATTACCGATCATGCACAACCATACGAGTCTCTATCGATACGTGAACCCCGACCCCCCGATAAGTACTTAGGGATTTTACTCTTGAGGGATGCATGCTCTTTAAAAGCCCCTGCTCTGCAGATGCCGGTGATTTCGCAGTGCGGCGATCGAGCAAAACTTTTTCCAGGACAGCAGGGATCAATCGGGTCGCAAGCCTTTCGTGTCAAAAATCCCCGCAGGAGGTCCCGTAAGCCAGAAAAACTATCTATCTCGAAATAATGCCCTCTACAGGTTGCAGGCATGGATGTTGGAACCTAGTTACGGGGGTTGTTGCGACTTGGGTTCTCTCCTGCTATGGGATCTCTTGGAGACAGCGCTTTGCAGCTTCGAACTTGCTCAAGGCATGATCAAAATCCAGGCCACCCTCCAGAATGTCCAGGGCCTGAAGATCAACTATCCCAAGCAAACATCGGTACAACGAAGCCACACATGCAAAGGATTCTAGAAGCCTAGATGTTTGGGTAAAGGCACAAGCTGCTTCGTGGGAAGCCACAGAGACTTGAGGTCAGCCTTGCCGGGTCCCATGTAGGCAACCTTAGCAGACACGGCGCTTTTTAGAAGTTGAGGAACATCTGTTCTTGACCCCACGAAGATACTAGCAATCCTATTTTACAATCTATTTCGCCTAGCTGCTTGGCTTCCATTGCTATCCAACACTCCGAATGCTGGTCTCGTCCAATATGCCATGATTCTGTAGGTCGCAGTCGCGGCACGGTTGTACTCATGAATGAAAGCCTTGATTTCCAGTTCCTCCTAGCAGGGATTTTCACAAGCTCGACATGAGGTAAACAAAGATGAAGCACACCACTTAGGATAGATATGCACTCCTCCGTCCGAGTTCCAGGGGGTTTGTTCTTCTTCTTTTTCGGGGTGCCTTTCTTCTTTGGGGTAGCCTTGGCCTTGGCCTTCTTTCTGGGGGTAAACCTCACTTTCAGGTTGCTTCCTGGGTTCACTGGGCTCTTCACTGGCGTCTTAACCTTTTCTTCCTCATCATCTTCCTCCTCTGGCTCCTCATGCGAAAGCATAGCAGCTGCAGCTGGTCTCTTCATTGCTCCCGTGCCCCTGCTTCCCCGCCCTCCCCGGCCACCCCGGCTTCCACGGCCCCCCCGGCTTCCGGGGCCCCCCCGGCTTCCGGGGCCTCCCCGCCCTCCACCTCTGCCTCGACCCCGCGTCGGCTTCTCTTCTTCCTCGGGCTCCTCTGGGTCTGGGACCTCGTCTTCTCCATCAGGCAGATCGTCAGGAACTTCTGTTTTTTTGCTGGCCTTACCTTTGGCTTGTGCAATCTCCTTCCTTTTCTGGCTCAGGGCCAACTGATCCATACGTAAAACAACCTTAGACCAATCCAAGCACAGAGCAGCCAATCAGCGAACATCCCTGTGCAAACAGCCCTTCTAAAGCCCGGCGGCAGGAGCTTCTTCAGCATCCTCGGTGACCTGCGTCTCCTCCTGGTCTATGTGCGAGCCTGGTAGGGGTGACTTAGATAGGGTTTAGGCTAAGCTTAGGGTATGTCGAGGTAGCACTACCAAAAGCTACTGAATCGGAGGATCGATCGATTTTTGGTTAACTGATAATCCAATTTTATTCGGGGACGGCCTGTGCGGCCACTGTCGAGGGCAGCGAGCCCTGCCGAATCTTTCTTGTTCTTCTCCGCAATCCTGAGCTGAGGGACAATGCTCATGATGAGTGTATCCTCCCGAAACCCTTTGAAACTTACATGGACGCACAAAAGCCAACATGGCCTAATAAGCTGACGAGAATCATGAGCTTCAAATGTTCAATTTGGGCTGCTATCTGGGCACGTTTTCCCAGCTTTGCCAAAGCATTTGAGCTACCCATAATTTCACAATCGTCATCGTCATCATTCTGGGGCTCGAAAATGTGGCTCTTCGCTTTCGTCTTGGCAGCTGTGCGGCTTGCTGGTTTCGGCTCCGTTTGCAAAGGCTGGGGCTCTTCATCAGGCATCTGGGAAGGAGCAGCATGAGAGGCATCGGCGCTTGACGTGTCGAGCTCGGGATACTCATCCTGAGAAGGATATCATTAAGCCGCGAAACCAGAATTAAGTCACCAACCCGTGCCTTGCTGCCGAAATTGGCAACCACTCGTCGATAATCCTCATCCTGAGATACAAGCAAAATCATTTGCAAGACCCAATAGGGGTGAGGGAATAGACAAACCACAATTGCATCAATGAAGCTGAGACTCTCGAGCAACCCTCTCACTTTGGAACTGTTTCTTCGCCATTGACAGAAGGGACTTTATGTGCTTGGAGTCAGTGATGCAAATCGCTTGCACATGATCCGGCAACTTAAAGTCGCTGGGCATTTTGGGAAACCGTCCTTTGTACGCCTTTTTCTGCCTAGCCTCGTGAAACTTCATCCACAAGGCCTCTAACTCCTCTGCGATGGTTTCCATGCTAGGAATCTTCAAAGATTTAGCGGCTCGCATCTGAATGATGATCGGGACGACGAACATATCATTCATAACCACTGTTTCTTGATTCGCTAAAGGAACCTTCTCCCCGGCAGCTGGCAGGATCAAGGAAGACGGAGCCTCAAAAGACAGTCGATCCTTAACTTCAGGGTTGCCATACCAAGCAGCACCCAACCCACTCAGAATCACCTGCTCGATTTCCCGAGCCATGTCATGTGGCTTGATCTTAAAAAAGCTGAAGCAGAAGTCCAAGGTTATAACCAAACGAGCTCATGATGCACAGCATTTGCGAACGAAAAAGCACAACAGGGATATGGCGGTGGGATGGGCGCACCTCCTGGCCACCATAGCATGGCCCGCACCAGCACATGATTTCCATGAGCTAGCTGCTCTTGCAGGCTCGGTCTGCCCAAGAGAAATGTTTTGATCGGATCTGCAGTACTATCCGACTAGTAGGACGTCATACTGCTACGTATGCTAACACATTCGAAAGCTGCCAACCCGAAACTAAGGTAGGGAAACCCAGCTGATGCTCAAAAGATGCTCAAAGGAAAGCCTGCCCTACACCCTATGAACCCCAACTTAAGAGAAGCACTGCTGCCCTGAGCCGCGGCGAGATGGTGATTGTTGCCGCCTCCTGGATTCTGTAGGGGTCATAGGTTTATCGAGGGGTCCAAAGGATCGGGCTTATAACTACGTATGCATAGACAGAGTATATGCTCCCACAGGGAAAAGCTTACGGGGGTCGATAGTACATGTTGAGGAAGTTTCTTTGGATCTTGCGATAGTATGATATGACGATCTGTTCTTTGTGAGGACGATATTGAAGATAGCTAGGTCCTGGTCTGGGGCTTCACGGATGCCTATCGAAGGCAATCATGCTAAAAAGTGTCCGCTTTACCCCTCCCCTAGAAACCCTTTAAGAAACCGAAATACGCTCTTTTATCACATAAATCCAGAATTTCCCAACAGGAAGGATTTTTTAGGCCGCTAGGATCGCCAGGTAGTCTCCTAAACCCAGAACCCCTGAACCCCTAACCCCCTACACCTCCCATTGTGTCCATGTGTTGGTGTCCTGGCCAAAGGCCCCAACCGCTCAGTGCAGGGCAGCCTAGGGCTGCGATATTCGCAGCCAGAAAGGTTTCATCACGAGGGCTTTGTGGGAGAACGTGCTTGCAAAGTAGCGTGGAGAGATAAGGTGTTCCTATCCCTTGTTACGAAACTTGCAGGTGTTTGGCAGATGCTAACTTTCAGTTCATGTTCCAAGACGTTCATATAGCGTAAGAGTCGAATGTAGCATCTAAACGCGTGTGTTACAGGGCGATGACCCCTCCAACTGCGAGGGCTCCGGTGAGAACCGACTTCAGAAAAGCCGTCTTCGCCATGCAGGGCTTCGGGTTCAGGATTCAGGGTTTACAAGGTCTCCGAGGTGTTGCAGCCCAAATGTCGGGATTTGTTTCTAATTTGCTGCTTGCTGCTTGATGCCACGGTCTGAAGGTGCCACATAGCGCTACTCCAGACGGACAACACCTTGCATTATCCATAACACTTAGAGCGGAACATACCGAATATACCCATATTTCTCCATGTTCTGATAGCTAATGGCATTTAGTTTCAGGTGCAGAAGGATTGTGTGTGTTTCCTGTATGTTGGCCTCGGCTTTTCGATCGTGATGCAAGCACACACCGGGTTGTCATGCAGGCCTGCATCTTCATGGCTTTCGGATGTTTGTCTTGTCGGCCTCTGCCAGTGCGAGTATAATCAGTCATGGTGGCCGCGAAGTCCGAACATCATAAGCCCTAAGAGTCTATGAATTTTTTAGTGCAGCCATGAGGTCTAACAAGAGGACCTTGCATCTGGAATGCTTATTGTGAACCCCGTGGCGAGGCTTGGTGCCGAAACGTCATGGGCTGTCGGATCTTACATCCTGGCCCCACTCCAGATTTGCCACCGCAGCTCGTAGCAGCAACTGGCATCAATTCCAACAGCTTGAACGCCTGAACACATGTCCCATTGTCATCGCTGTGAGGAGCAGTAGTACATATTGGATATATTTTAGTATCTGAGCGTAATGTAGTATGTAGTAGCACGACCACTATAGCACGTTATATGCCAGCGTCTTCATAAAGTGGGCCGAAAAGCCAAGCCGCAAGCCTCGCAGGAAGTGCGCTGCCCAAGCTGTGGACAGTTTAACCCGTTTCTTGGCATCAGTTTGGGAGATTTGGGTTAAGTTTTTGTTTAACATAGGTTTTTAGGTTTTTTGAAAAAACCTACGGGAGATTAGGGGATAGGGTTCAGGGCCAGTTTAGGGTTTAGGGTGAGCAACAGAAGGCTCCTTGCATCCTAGAGTAGCAAGCCTTGGGTCCAAACTGGGCTACGCTTGTGCAGTGACGTGCTGCCCTAGAGTCAGAGCCACCATATAGTTTATTAACAATGCGAAAGACTAAGCCAGTCCAACCCAAGCACATTTTCCTGGAGCAGAGCATCCGCAACATTGCTTCAGATGTTTCGACTTCTTGACCGGTTCTGGCTTGAGGGTCTGAAGAAGTGTTTGGGTTTGCGGTTTCGGGTTTTAGGTTCGGGCACTTGGGCATGCAAGGGATCTCCGCTCCGTTTAAGGCTCGCGCTTTGTGTGAGTCGGCTATTGCTCTAGGTAGATGTACATCTTTACATCTACAGATGCAGATGGATAGATAACCAGCAAAATTACTCATGAGCATACGGTAACTCGTCTCTATGACCATGATCAAAAGTGGCTCAGGAACATACGACCAAAGAAGCTTCAGGTGCAAGAGTGTCACCCAAACAACCACCAAAGTGGGCTATCCGGGAAAGCATCACATTAAGCAGGAGCACATAGTTTAATGGAGGTGCGACGTTTTCTGCAGTCAATTTTCAAGGCCTAAAAATGTCAGGTCCGATGCCAATTTTTGCCGCCACTGCGGCCGACGACTGGCAGCGATCACACCGGCGGCCGCGGCCCCTGAGGAGACCCTGTTTGTTTGGGCCTTCACTTGTGGAAATGTGTATATTAAGTTTGCAGAATGACATTGGTGATTCTTTGGGCTTCTGTTTCCAGGCTGTTCAGTGGTACACTTTTTTACTTTCAGGTTTCTGGGTTCCTCTTATAAAATAAGCAGCCTAAAAGCATATATACTTTTCCAAGGGGGTCACTGAACAGCCTAGGTTTACGGGTTTCCGAAAGGAGGAGCTAGAGTTAGAAGGGAATAGGGTTTTGATCTTTAGATGCCTTAGTCAGGGGCTTTAGAGGCTTTAGGGCTTTGGGGGTATAGGACAGGGCTTTGTGGTTTCAGGGGTTCGCAGCCATGTTTTGCGTTACGAGCGCATCCGAACGAATGACGCTCCAAGGATGACATGGGAAACTTCCAAGCGCTGATGTTGACAGTATACAGACGAGGTATCAGTGGATCTGTGTCGGCACCTTTAAAAACATCCCTCAGCGAGTAAATCAGCGTCGGCACCCAGAATATAGCGTCTCCCCATCACAACCACGAAAGACTCTCACGTGTAGCCCATGGCTGGGTATGGTGATGTTGTCACAGGCAAAAAGCACAGGCAGGTTGACGTTTATTCAGGGTTGAGGCTTCCTCGAGCGAGACTACAGGGCGAACTACAGGCTTGTAGTTTTGGAGGATCTGATAAGGGTTGCGTATGCCACAAGCCGTCGGTCGGTGTCAAGGTTGCTAAAGTTTCTTTTTGCTTTTAAATTTGGGTTTATCTATAGGGGTTCAGGGTTTAGGGCGGTCAAGCCGCTGGATTAGGTGAATCGAGCACGTAGACCTTCTACCCCGGCCCCAGCCGATATCCCTACCCTGGTCCCCATATGTACCCCCACATCCAGGATCACTTCTCGTTTTCCTTGGGCTCTTCTGCGGCCGCAGCTCCCGCCAGAGGGCGACCAGAGGCCCCGGAAGAGCTCTCTCTCTCTCTCTCTCTCTCTCTCTCTCTCCTCTGTCTCACTCTGTCTCTCTCTCTCTCTCTCTCTCTCTCTCTCTCTCTCTCTCCTCTCCCTCTATGGATGGATGCCGCGTGCAGTTTTACGGAAGAACTTTTGTAGCTCTCTACTGTACCGCATAATATCATCTTTTCAGTTGTTTAGCTGTCGAACCCTGCTCCGTTTTTGAAAAGAAACTTATCATCCATGTTGAGAGGGTGCAGAGTCCGTGATGCGAAGATCCAGTGGGGTCCAGGGTATGTGCCATACAACTCTATGTCCGAAAGCCCGTAGCATATTCATGACAATACTTGTAGCAGTAAGAAGAAAACGACAGGACATAATGTAGTAGCAGTAGAACTATATCAGAGCAATCACAGTAACAACAGAATACAGCAGGCAATAGTCACGAAAGACTACTTGGAAGAGCAGGGGACTTAGTAAGTAGGTTATAAGTAGAGTTATAAGTACCCTGAATGGAGTTACCCCAATTATAACCCTACTTATAGCCTACTTACTAAGTCCCCTGCCCTACCAAGTAGAGCCACATGCATAAAGCGATTTGGTTTGGGTTTAGGGTTTACGGTTTAGGGATGCAAATGTAAACATCAGCATAGACATGAGTAGTCGGCTTGCTCGTGAGATGAGATTACGGACACTACAAGTTCATGGCAATAGGAGAAGTCGAAATTCATACTGGTCTTAATGACCATTGTGTTTTAATGTATGAATAGTACTAAGATTCGCAGGCGTCTAGTACCATGATCTACAGTACAGTCTTTCATCAATTAGGGGATGCTGGGCTCTTTGGTGAACCCTAAGCCTGAAAGCCCCCAACCCCAAACGCCAAAGCTTCAAACCTTACATCCCGAACCCTAAATCCGCACGATCCGAGCAATGAGCCCCCCAAGCCGCACATAAGAGCAGTAAACGCGCGGAGCCGCCCAACCTTAAAGTCTGAATTCTGAATCCGCACAATAAGAGCAATAACAGCTCAGAGCCAGAAACCCCGAAACCTAAACCCTAAACCTCAAATCCGCACAAAAGCCAGCAAGTAAAGCTATTGTGGGGGGTTCTTTTTATCGTAATCATAGTATAATCTGCCCCAAAACCTTATTCCAATTATTAAGGCCCTCATATTCTGGTGACGGTACCTTTATAGATCCTTTATAACCCTTTAAAGGAACCCTATTCTAATTATCATGGCCCCTACATTAAACGCCAGATGAGTGATCTCCTCGCCGACCTCGAGACA